CGAGCAGACGCAGCGAGCAGACGCAGCGAGCAGACGCAGCGAGCAGACGCAGCGAGCAGACGCAACGAGCAGACGCAGCGAGCAGACGCAGCGAGCAGACGCAGCGAGCAGACGCAGCGAGCAGACGCAACGAGCAGACGCAACGAGCAGACGCAACGAGCAGACGTAACTAACAGCCCTACAGGCGCATCGAACATAAGCAACAATTAAACTATATAAAATTGTCATGTTGGGAACGTTGAAGTTGCTGACGTTAACATGCCTGACGTACCGATGAAGCCTCCGAAATCATTTTCCTTAAAAAAGATATTTGCGCGCAAGAAAGTATTTTAAGTGATTCGAAACACTTCATGGAAATATTGCTGGATTTTGATGCAAAATGTGACGTAAAAGGAATGTCGATTTTACAAATGTATTCAGATACTTCAAATTTATTCAGACACTTCAAATGTATTCAGATACTTCAAATGCATTCAGACATTTCAAATGTATTTAGACACTTCAAATGTATTCAGACACTTCAAATGTATTCAGTTACTTCAAATGTATTCAAACACTTCAAATGCATTCAGACACTTCAAATGCATTCAGACATTTCAAATGTATTCAGATACTTCAAATGTATTCAGACACTACACTTCAAATGCATTCAGATACTTTAAATGCATTCAGACACTTCAAATGTATTCAGATACATCAACATCAAAGCGCTGCCGCTAATCTGTTACTTACACTAAACACCTGCTTACTCGATGAATATTATATGAACAGTATAAATTATTGTTTGCTTACACAACTAATAGCACTTATATCACGTGATAGCCGTTATTCGAATAATTTTAATATATCAATAGCTTATTTAAAAATATATTCTTCCCCCTACATTAAATATAGGATTCTTAAAAATAAAACATTTCATTGACAAAAATATTTTATACATTCAGCCTCTTAGTTTTAATGTCTTGTGTTGTTAGCTAGGCCGCGTTAAAATGCCCTCTTCAATCACTTGAAGTGTCACTGAATTCAAATTTATTCAGAAAAAATGTTTCCTTCAATAAAATAATTCTACAGTGCAAACGAAGGCCCCGCACCAGTTGTGCAAAATTCCTGTCAACGACGGCGAGCTTGCTCAGTGTTAAGCTAGCAAAAAAAACGCCCATGGGAGATAATTAGCGAGAAAATTAACAAATGAAAATTAACAAATATTTATTCACAACGGAAAATCTTGCATTAATAATTCAAATATTGCGCCACTTACCAGACCGTCGTGAAGACTGGTGGGATTGCGTCGTGTTAGAGCCGGAGATGTTCGGTCTCGAGCGAAAGCCGCTTCTGGCTTCTTGCCCAAGTACTCTCCTAGTTAATTCCCTAAGGCCCCAACAAAACCTGCTTAATATTTATGTAAATCAAAGAATAAATTTCATGGAAATTGTAGTGAAATTAGGAGAAGTTGAGGGACACACACACCATCAACGAAAGCAACCACCAAGTGAAGAGCAAATCAAGTGTGCAAGACTACCACCGCTCCGCCTAAGGCCCGCCTCTGTCACATGATTGCCAATGAAGGCTCAAAAATTTCTTTCCCCTCAAAGAAATGGCCAGTAGCAACCGAGATTTGCAAGTCCCACCCCGAAGCTATTGTTGTATTTTTCCTCATTTTTTATTGTATACTAATGAGCGGCGATGGCCTATATTAAGGGCAGCCAGAGCTGGTCAAGTCGCAGAAGGTCCACAGGCCTCGAATAGCTCAGTAGTGCACCATCCATCCCATAAAAATGGAAGCCGTGTTCTCTGTATTTTCTCCCACGACTGTGGTGCTCCTCTCCTGCGTTGTGGCGATGGCAGCCTTCCATTATAGTCTTGGAAAGAAGCTCAAGAATCGTCTGCAGCACCTCAGCAAGTCCAGTGACGTCGGCAGCCAACAAAAGGACTTAACTTCCGTGCCTCGAGTTGCTCCAGGTCCCAAACCTCTGCCCATCATCGGTAACCTCCATCACTTGGCCAAGTTTGAGGATAACCCATACGTTGGCTTCACTGAGTTGGCTCAGGAATATGGCTCCGTCTACAGCCTCAAGATGGGCACGACTCCAGCTCTGGTAGTGAGCTCCTCTGAAGGTTTCAAAGAAGTACTCATTTCTAAGGGAGCCAAGTTCGATGGCCGCCCAGATTTTCACCGCTGGAATTTGTACTTCGATGGAGACCGTCAGCAATGTAAGTAAAAATTTTGTAATATATTCAGTGTATATGTATATTTCATTGTTTTGCTCGCATATCGTATGAACGATGTTAGAGCATGGACGTAATTTATTCTAATATTTGTATGTTAAAACCATGGTTGAATTGTGCGAACATCGTTAAAAAAAATTCTGATGAAAATCATACATTTAAATAATTTATTTGACAAGGTTCACTGATTATGATTTTCTTCTCTGCAGCTCTGGCTTTGTGCGACTGGTCTGATCTTCAGAAAACTCGGCGCTCGATCATCCGATCCTTCCTGCTGATGAAGTCTCACTCCAGCAACCACGAGAGCCTCGACAAAGCTCTCATGACCGAGATGGAGTCTTTAATGGCTGAGGTAAGCTGAGCATTTAAAGTAAAAGAGAAACCTAAAATTTTCACTATGAATTCTATCTATCTTTATTCTATCAATGAAATTGAATGTTAACTACAAATTCTGGACTAAGCTTTTTCAATCTTAACTCTGTTTATTGAAAGTCATGATCACTTTATTCAAGTTTTATTTCAAGGTGGCAGTTATTCCCAGCTCATTTTTATTATTGGTAATTTATGGTTCTCTACTTTTTTCCTAATTAAATTTGAGAATAGATTCATTTCCAGTTATAATTTAATTTATTTATTAACAAAACCTTTTTTTCCTTTTTAGCTCAACAAGAATGCTGGTTCTCCGGTAATGGCTAAAGTCCCCATTCAATGGTGCGCCATGAACGTATTCCTGCAGTACATGTGCGACCTCAAGTTCGATTACTCAGAAGCCAAGTTCCGGAAGGTCGTCAATGAGTTCGATCTCATTTTTGAAGACATCAACAACGGCCACCCAACGGACTTTTTGCCTTGGCTATCTCCTTTATTCGGTCGCCATCTCAAGAACGTAAAAGGACTGGCGAACAACATCCGAAGTTTCATCCTCAAAGAGATCATTGAGCCTCAGATGAACGCCACCAATCCCGACAAGACTAAGAACGTTCTGGAAGGCTTGCTCTCCAATCACCTGGTGAGTTCATGCATACATTACTCTTTCGGCTTTAAAGACTGCTTTATATTGATATATTTCACTGAAATGAGGAGAATAAACTTTATCTTGCTGCAAAATAATATTGCATTTAATGTAACTTGTTAGTGATGAGGCATTTCATTTCGCTTTCAGAACACTGATGGCCAAGAGGTTAGCATGGATTGGAGCAACATGCTTTTTGCGTTGGAGGATCTTCTTGGAGGTTCTTCAGCCATCGGAAACGTAATGCTGAGAATTTTGGCAATGGTCTCCCAGAATCCAGATGTACAAAAGAAACTGCAAGCTGAAGTAGACGAGGTGGTCGGCAGTGACACTCCAGTCTCTATTGATCACCGCAGCTACATGCCCTTTACAGAAGCCACCATTACTGAAGTTCTCAGACTCACGTCATCACCAATCGTTCCTCACGTCGCCAACGAATCAACTTCCCTCGCAGGGTTTGACGTCCAGAAAGGCACTGTCGTGTTCCTGAATAACTACGCTCTTAACATGTCTACGGAATTCTGGGATGAACCTGAATCTTTCAAGCCTGAGCGATTTATCAAGAACGGACAATTTAGTCGACCGGCTCACTTCTTACCCTTCAGCACCGGAAAGCGGGCCTGTGTCGGCTCCAAGATCTTGATGCACGTCTGTTTCGTAACCTTGGTCAACATCGTGCAAAAATTCTCCATTTCGGTCCCTACTAATGAAGATATTTGTTTGCCAGTTGGGAAACTCGCCGTCATCGGTGATGGGTTCAATCTTGTTCTCAATCACCGAAGGTGAACTTGATATTGCACTCGTTTTTGTACTCGTAATCATTGGTAATGGGTTCAATCTTGTTATCAATCACCGAAGGCGAACTTGGCATTTCACTTCTATATTTCACACTCGTAGTTCACAGAGCTCATTTTTCATGTTCGATCATCACGTATTATTTATTAAGCAATCACTTTAAAACTTTTTCAACCACAGCTTATAAATAATACTAGAATTCATGGTAATCTATTTACTTAAACAACACAATCATTATAAGTTCGCTGAGAACCCGAGCGTGCTGCCATGTCTGCACCAGCTGAACGGGACACAATGCATCTCTTTTATATATAAGGCAATTTTCTTGCTCCGATGAAGTATTATGAAACTTATTTTTAAGACAGATGTGATAGAAAGATATTTTTTTATAAAATCAAAGTCAATTTATGCGTGTTAATTTTTATTTTAAGTACTTACAGCAGTGATGCTCTTCGTATTTCGTCTATGTTTGCAATCTGATTGCTTATTGTAGAGATTTAATAGTTTAAGTCTAAGTTTTGCTGTCCGGTGATGGATATTTTGTGTAGAATTTCCTGCGTTCTTTGATTTGTATTGAAGGAGCTGAGTAAGATGCACCAAGTATTAATATTATACAAATGTTATTATAGTGACGTCACTGCCTCCATGAACGATTCAATTACCAACGCAGCTAATGGCAGTCGGCCACACAGCGGCCGCCGATATGCCAGCCAAAATTCTTAGACGGGTTAGCTCTTCTGAGCCAACGCAATTTATTTTTGTTCTAAAATAAATGAAAAAAATATAAACTAATTTTTAATTGTCCTATAAAAACTTGCCGCCGTGACGGGAATGGAAAAATCTAGCGATTATGAGACTATGCATGGGGTTTATTCCATATAAACTTTACAACAATCAGAAGCTGAGCCTAAACGTATATGAATGTATTAGGCTGAGCCTGGAAATTAACGATTTTAGCCTATATGACTAATAGGCTCGATTAGCATGGACTGCAAATCTGTGCACACGGGAAACTTTGAAATAATGGGTTTGGCTCTCTGGTAAGATATTGCAACTTGACGCCAAAAAAGCTGATATTGCCTTTATAGATAATTTATAATTCTGGTAGGAAGAGCATTGTTACAAGGGAGCCATATGCCATGTCTCTCTAAAGTCTATAGCATCACACATCTAGTGCACTAATATATCAATGCTACCAACCATAAGTGGATGTGTGGAAACATTTGCGACGTTGTCCCAACGTCTAACAGAAATTATATCTAGCACAGAAAACCTTTGCTAGTTAAGATAGGCTTTCGATGTCCACACATCTATGAATATGGAAATGATTCTTTTCACTGAATCATCGGTGCACATCACAACAATCATCTCTACGACCCATGGATGATATTTGTGATAGGTGGGTGACTTATGGTTGTTATAAAGTTGTTGTCTCAATGGTATTATCGGTCGTAACGTCCCCTATAACTGACGTAAAAATTTATCTTCAATTGGAATGAAGTTAAATAATTGACGCATGCTGATCTGTTTAGCTGACTTCTTGCTGCAATGTTAACAACCTGAATCAACCGCCAAATCGACGTACGGTTACCAAGTGACGCAAATGACGGAGGAAATTGCCGATTCAATCTCAATTTTTTGAATTACTAGAGATTTGGTCGAGTTTTGACCTACTATTCAACGTTGAAAATTTGATCTCAATCTATCTTTTTCGCTTTTAATATCCTTCAAATGTTGAATACATTTTATAACACCAGCCCTAATCATTGCTCGATTATCATGCTTTTTCAACGTCAATACTTACACAAAAATATAAAGCTTAATTCAAACTGAATATTAAAGTTAAGTTGAGAAGCGTCAATGTGAATCAAGATAGCAAGAAACGCAAAATTTCGAAGTTGAATTGTCCAACACAATATGAACATTTGATCAGGGACCATTATAGGCTACTCTGATCGAACGTGCTCAAACATTAAACGTTCTTGAGAAATGTACGTTGCAGTCTCTTGCTCAGGTTTGGTTCTTATGATTTCTCTTTTTTAAATCGTGGAATAAATTAAACGATATTGAACGCAATAAAAAAATTGAAATAAATATAATTTCTTTATTTCGTTATGAGAGGCGTATTTCTAATCTATTTGGGTATCATTTTTATATAGCGTCGCCGCTGCGCAGCGTGTCATTTGTTGGGTAGCCATGCACAGACGCCATTAATTTCGGAACCATCCGATCGATTCTCTATCTGTTCACGTGATTTAAAATACCTCACCTATTGAGAATCCAGCGGGAAATGCGTGCTGTATAACGATTTCTCAGTGCTCTAGGCTTCAAATCAGTTTACATTCATTGCCAAATCAGTTATATATGTTGGTGAGATCATTATTAATGATCGAAAAGTGCAGAAATGGGTCAGGACCTCTAAAAATGGTCGCACAAACACTCATTAATTGAGGAACGATGAAAGCCGACCTTCAGCCATTACCGATTATCTGATTCAAAAAGTGGACTCTTAACCGAAAGAGAAAAGACGATTCAGGATTTTGTCCGTAGCTGAATACTTTTCTGTTGTCTCAAGAATGTTCTTGACGAAATTGTGTAATCAGGCGGCAAGCTTCTTTCATGATGGCATATAAAAGCTTGAACCAAGATACGATAAACGTTTTAATTAAAACGAAAATGATGTAGAAAAGTAGAAAAAAGTATGCTCTTTCAAGTAAATAATTCTTTTTCGAAAAAAATTTACCTTTTTCTTTATACATCAAAACGGTACTTTGTTTAAAAACACACCTCTTATATGCGTGTTTCTCTCGCTAGTATAATATAACGTATCTACACCCACGTGGCATAAACACAAAAGTCGCTATTCCAAACGTTACTAAATGGATGAAAAGTTACGTGGCAACCGCCTAGAATTTTTCTTACAAACGAGAAGTCAATCCGCAGCTCTCCTACTACTGCCGAGATGTCCGAGGTGAAGCTAGTTCTAAGTGCCGGGAAAGTACAGAATTTTTTCCGGTGGAGAATTGGGGGTAAGTAAAAGAAAATAATTCTGAAGATTTTTGACTGTAGTTTCATTTGTTTTTGCTCATAATGCAATGCAGGATAATTGGTGGATGTTCATGAACTTGTACAATCTTATACAATCTCATTAATTAATTAAGTTGAACCTTGAAGTAAATTCGCTCACGAATTTTATACAATATAATTGTGTGTTTGAAGCCTGGGCTCGCAAATATGCTTGGGCTGTTGTAGGACGCGTATCCAGGATATTTCATTATCTTGTCAGGGTAACTTGGACAAATTTTACAAATTTTATTTGTATGGACGCAATTATGAGGCATTACCGAACGGTAGAGGAAATGTAAATTTTTTTTAATTAGGAGGAAATTTTAGTGACAGAGTAGAATGTTTTCTTCACATTTAAAGACGGAAATTTCTTGCAGGGGTTGACCGGGCCTGTATCTTTTATATAAGTATTCCTCTATAGTCTGCCAATGTGCAAAGTGAAACTTGATTATTAACTTCTATTTATAGTTATCTATCCTGACCAACACTGCATGTACCTGCTAGTTTGCTTTATAAGCTGCAATTTGACGCTACTTCAAAATATATAAATAGTTTCATCATCAACACTATTTAAATGTTTTCAATTAAAAGTTGAATTAACGTCTGTCTAGGTAACGTGAAATTTTCTATCTTAACGTTTAATTTTCTATTTTAACATAAAAACGACATCCCATCACCGTTGCAATTCGTACACAAATTGAAAATATACACAAAAGATGATCCGAAGTTACCAGTTATTTCCCCTTCACAGTGCGGCAGCTTTCACCTCATCAATGTATTCACCATTCACTGAAGGTCACCTCAAGGCCAGATATTCTCGGTGAGAAGACAAACAGGTTCTGGGACAGCAGCTTCCCAGCTTTCTAACGTACAAAAACAACGTTATTTATGCCTACGTTGTTTATTTTTACCGTTACTATCCTTTCCTGCATATCGTACTGCTTTTTCCTGCGCAATCGCTTGTTTGTTTACGGTCCAAAATCTGAATTATCACTGCAAAAATAATAGATGAGCAATGATCTTTCGAAACGTGTTCCTCATTTGAAGTGTTCTTTGCCATACTATGGACTGTTCTAATAATTTATTAAATAAAACTGATTAGTAACACTAGTTATAATTCAATTGATAGAATGTAATAAGAAATTGACCTAATCTGTAGGCGAAAACAAGCTATAGTTTCATGGATGTCCCCAGCCACTGGCTGCATGTTGTGTTTTGTTTGGTCGATGTTGTGGGAATTTTCCCCTGAGCTTTTCAGTGTTACGGCGATCCGGAATATACGTGACTATTTTTAATTGTTGAGTTAAAAATAAATTCAGAGGTTGAGATCGTTCGTAAAATTGCAGCACCTTAAAATGTTATAGCTGGCTCATTCCGGTATTGGTAAACCTGTTATGTGTCAATGCATTCAAACCTTAATGGTATTATATATTAGATCTTCACCTTGGCGAAAATCTATCATCATTTCTAACATCGATCGTTGAAATTATGTAATGGATATCCCTTTTTACGGCCGCTTTTCACAAAAGTGGTAGTAAAATTTAACTTTAACTTTTCACAAAAGTGAGAAGTTAAAAAGTTAACAAAAACTGCAAAACAAAAGTTTCCTAACTTACGTATTGACATACAAAAGATATATTGCTTTCTTCAATCAAATCAGATTCACATTTTACTAGCTACAAAATTAGAATACATACGTATTTTCCAATACAACCCGAGTTTTCGATACCGCATAATCCCATCACATAAACCAAAATTGCAGGTTCAGATAAAACCCCTGAGGTACCGTGTATACGCGCACGATTAACAGCTGCATGGCAATCGGTTGCAAAGTGACCTACGGAACGAATCGAGGTTCCGCGTTTCCGAGAAAATTCCAGCCGCGTATTTTCAAAGCCGGGGTGGAATTCGGACTAAAGTCTAGTGGATGGGATCACTTTAGTAAACTTTTTTTCTCTAAGATGCACCGAATGAACCCGGATTCAATATTTTTTTTAACGGCAGCTCCATTCGAAGGTTCCTAAACCGTAGGCGTAAACGTTCTACGTGGAAATTTAGGGGGCTTTCCCGCTAGAAACAATGCACAGGAAGCAATGTCATTCCTGCGGGAAAACCGATCGGCTCCGTCGCGTATGCGCGTATAAATGAACTTCTGCCTGCCCAAGCCCCTACAAGACAGAAATAGCATTAGGCTCAAATTTTAAATAGATTTTATATGGTATTGAAATCTTTTATTGACATTATTTTATTACTAACCAAATATTCCCATAAAACAAAGCCGTAAATTAATTTCCACTCTCCGTCATCTAAGGTGATCCTTTTCCATTCTGATACTTCAAATTATGTTGAGGGTGCAGATGTTTTTTTTTTAATTAAGATGGTTGCTTTCCAAAATATGATCTTCTGCCAGTTACAGACACAGTTGACAGCACCACCTCCTGCCAGTTACAGACACAGTTGACAGCACTATCTTCCGCCAGTTACAGACACAGTTGATAGCACTATCTTCCACCAGTTATAAACACAGTTGATAGCACCGTCTTCCGCCAGTTACAAACACAGCTGATAACACCATCTTCCACCAGTTACAAACACAACTGATAGCACCATCTTCCGCCAGTTACAAACACAGCTGATAGCACCATCTTCCACCAGTTACAAACACAGTTGATAGCACCATCTTCCACCAGTTACAAACACAGCTGATA